GGATAAGTGAGGTCATTGTCTAGATAATTTATTAATGTAGATTCTAGGACTTAAAGAACAAACTTGAATGTCTGACGGCTTTCCCCATTTGAGGAAGCAAATTAAGTAACAATGAAAGAGAAATCTGGAGGAAGTGGAATAAGGAATGAAAGGATACGCGTCAGCTATAAAAACTGCAAGACGGTGCCCAAAACAGTGAACACTTAAAGATGCATTTCATTGTTTTCCTCATCTCCATGGGATTTGTCCAATATTACGGATTCCTGGAGCGCCTGGGCGGCTTACTCGGTTAAGCGGCCGCCTTTGGCTCAGGTCATGATCCTGGAGTCCTGGGATGGAGTCCCATACGGGGTTTCCCCTGCTCTGCAGGGAACCTGCTTCTCCCTCTCCCGCCTGCCACTCCCCTGCTTGCACACGCTCACTCTCTCTGTCAAATAGATAAATAAAATCTCTTTTTTAATTTTTTTAAGATTTTATTTATTTATTTGACTCAGGAGAGACAGAGTGCATGCACAAGCAGGAGCTGGCAGGCGGAGGGAGAGGGAGAAGCGGGCTCCCTGCGGAGCAGGGGAAACCCCATATGGGACTCCAATCCTAGGACTCCAGGATCATGACCTGAGCCAAAGGCAGTGGCTTAACCAACTGAGCAACCCAGGTGCCCAATAAATAAAATCTTAAAAAAAAAAAAAAAAAAAAAAAAAAAAAGAGTGTGAGTTCTTCAGGAAGTTTAAAAAAGAAAAACAACTTTTAGGAAAAATACTCAAACATCAACTACACTGCTTAGCGAAGATGGCTCTGAAACCTGTACTCGACGCTATGATTTTATCTTCTTAAAGGGATATGATAAAGCTCTTTAAATATTTCCAGAGGACATGGAGTATTTCCAAGAGTGAAGTAAAGATTCATGTAATCATATAAGCATGACTTACTTAGTTTTTGCAAATTAAGATGATCAGATACCTCTATAAAATGAGAAGTATGAATTAAAGTTCACGCCTATACATCTTCTTCCTCCCGGCCTTCCTGCCAACCTCCCACCCTCCCTTTATGTTTGTCTGTCTCTGTCGCTGTCTCTCTCTCTCTCTCTCAAATTTAGGCAATAGAGGACTTTTATCTTCCTTTGAATTCTGGTGCCAACGCTGAAAAACTAACAGGCAGCAAGACTGACTGGGTCTTGGACACAGTCTCCATGGTTCTCTTCACCGTTTCCACAGAGGGGGCCCGGAGCAAACGGCCAATGCGTGATGGGAGCCCCCCCCCCCCCCGCCCCCGGCTGGCTCAGCGGGGAGAGCATGCGACTCATCTTGGGATTTTAAGGTCAAGTCTCGTGTTGGGTGTAGCAATTACTTAAAAATAATATCTTAAAAAGAAAAGAAAAGAATGCACAGTGGGTATCAAGGCAGAGTCACTTAAACAGCCAAACAATGAAAACAATTATTCATCAACAGGGAAGAATGAACTGTGTTATAGTCATGCAATAGGACACTTCATAACCAAAACCCCAGGGGTGCCTGGCTGCCTCAGTTGGACAAACGTACGGCTTTTGATCTCGGGGTCATGAGTCCGAGACCCAAGCTGGATGCAGAGATTACTGAAATAAGCTTTTTTAAAAAATGAGATGGGGGGCGCCTGGGTGGCTCAGTGGGTTAAATAAAGCCTCTGCCTTCCGCTCAGGTCACGGTCCCAGGGTCCTGGGATCGAGCCCCACATCAGGTTCTCTGCTCGGCAGGGAGCCTGCTTCCTCCTCTCTCTCTCTGCCTGCCTCTCTGCCTACTTGTGATCTGTCTGTCAAATAAATAAATAAAGTCTTTAAAAAGATAAAAATAACAAAAAATTAAAAATAAAAAAATTAAAAATGAGATGGTATTAAAAAAAAAAAAGATGGACAAATGGCCAACCTGTTTTCCTTTCAACCTTTCCTCCCTCAACAGGCATGGATGTGGAAAGAGGAGGGAACCGAAGAGTAAGAAAAACTCCAGATCACTCGCAGCGCTTGGGGACTTGTTAAATTTTAAGAATTTCTTGATTAGGGAGACCCTTCCGTCTCCTCATTCTTGGAGGAAATACGGTGATCATGTTTGGAGGGAGACTGTTGCAAGGAGCCATTAGAAGGACAGAGCTGAGTGTCCGGGTTTCAGGCAGAGAATGCAAGTTGGGTCTCAAGCTTTCTTCATTGCTCCGCACGGCTCAACAGCAGGCTCAACAGCAGGGAGAGGCGGAAGGGCTGAGGGCAGCAGCCCCGGGCGGGAAGGAAAGGTGCGCAGGGGCTGGACTCGCCTTCAGACCTCCCTGTGAAAACTCACAGCACGGATCCCGCCGACTGGGAGAAGGCTGAGAAACACCAATGTCTATTTCTAGTCAAAGGCCCCTGGTCTCATTTATGTGCTCTTCTTTCTTCTAGAATCCTGGCAAAACGAATCCCTATCTCCTTAGCCTTTTTTTTTTTTTTTTTTAAGAAATACCACGAGTCCATTTTCCCTGTTCTCCCTCTGGACACTTCTCAGCCCCGGCAGGTCATTTCTGAACAGCAGAGGCTGTGACTGGTGATGAATGGGGAAGGGCTGAGGCTGGGCTCCTGAGCAAGAGCTCTGGCACTCCTGTATTGCCTCTTGAAGTTTTATTAGTAACAAAACCGCTGCCTTATTCACCACCGCCCAAAGTACGGCCGAGTAGACCCTGACTGCGTTCATGAACCTATTTTAAATTTTAAATTATTTCATTATGGCAAAATAATACTAGATAAAAATGAATGGGCACAATTACAGAAATGCTAAAGCTGACCATATCATTTAAGTAATATACACGGGGTGCGGGGCTACTAAAAATTATCTATGAGATAGGCATTTTATATACATTATTACATTTAATATTATTACCTCAAGAAACCTCTCTAAGCTAAAAAATCAGGATTCCTGTTTTACTAGTGAACTCTCAAGACTTCAAGGATGAGAAGTACAAAGCGTGCCAAGGTTCAAGCCCTGGCCCATCTGACTCAAAAATCATTTTACCTCAGGATTGCTCAGGCAAAGTGCTTACTCTACATATGCAGAGCTAATTATTCTTTCATCCTATGGGAAAAAAAGGGTAAACTGAATCAGCTAAAATAGATGGTAATCTCCCTGAGGCAAAGGCTGATTGCTTATCTTTTCCTCCGTGGAGAACAGGACCTCAGTGTGTTAGATGCATACTTCCAAATAGGTGCACAGGAGAAAAATGTTATTTTTTTTTATTACATGCATACTGCATATTTTTTCAAAGTATGTGCAAGCATCTACATTGTCATTAATGGGTTCAAATACCTGCAGAAAAAATAAAATTTACTCATCTAAACAAAAAGTGAGGTCCGTGAAAAGGATGGCTGAAAAAGACAAAATAATGACATAACCAGAAAATTTTAAAACCTGGGTACTGGGTTTTTTAAGCTTTAAAGATCTTTGAAGCTTTAAAGGCACATTGGCTAATATTTCCGTTATTCTAGAAATAACAAGCGAGCATAAAAACTCTTATGGTACAACTGACCCTAAACATGAAATCACTTAAAGAACATAGGAATACAAGCTGTTCTCCTTAGATAGCCCGAACCTCAAGGAGCAGACTGAAATCCAACTGTCGGTAGAATTACACGCTGATGAACAGTCCTTTATACCAAAGAATCCAAAAACTGACCGAACACTTTTTCTTTACTGGGATTTTCTTCTCCCTTTCCATTTAGTTTCTCTATGTGGAAGAAAAGTCCAGAACAAGACTTTAAATTCTTAATTCCTATTTTTTTTTCTGAAATTAGCTTATTTACCTTTAAATTAAGCCAAAATTTGTTTCTGAAAGAACTATCCTGTATCTTTAGTTGCTGCATTGTTAATGATTCTTTGCAGTAAAGACATGCAGAAATCCAAGGTTGGGTGCTTTGTTATTTACTTTTTACTAGCAACTCAGTTGGCCGGATGTTGAGTAGTCAGAATTTAAAGGTTTTTTTTTCCATAGAATAAGAGGACTTCTTTCAATAATGGAGTTCCATTTGGCTCCCAGGTAGAATTACTCAGGTTTACAGGTTTATGATTGCTGTTACTTCTGCTTCAGAATTACCTAGGATGAGTTTATTTGTGAGCCTAACCACACCCATAAATAATCAGTTAATCTCCCTGAACTCTCAGCATGTCTGGTTGGGTCCATTTCTGAGATTATAAGAAAAAAACACAACACAACATGTTACTTCTTTCTTTCCAGATCTGTCTCCCTTCTTTTGCTCATGCTACTTATTATAGTAAACAGACATTCCTGAAATTTTAATAATGTATACCTATGCATTGTAAATGTTTTCTTCATTATCCAAAATGTTTACTGTTTACTTTTTGGATCTGCACGTCTTTTTGAGTAGTCATTACCTACAAAAGAAATGTCTACACTGGAAAAAAAATAAGAAAGAAAGAAATGTCTACACTGGCTCATATTTTTTTAAGCCAAACACCTCGTTTCCATCATTTGGGGTTATTTTTGAGAACAATCTCCAACTCATTCCTGCATAAAATCCCTTGTCCACATTATGGTCCTTAAGGTAATGTCTTTGCAAATAAATCTGCCTATACCAGCTTCTCCGCTTTTAATGTTTTCCATAATCTCAACATTCTTTTGACTTTAATTCGCACTTTTTTATTCCTTTGTGTGAATTTACATACTTCTTCCTTTTGATTAGTATCTACTTTGCTCCATTTGAAAGTCTTCAGTTTTTACTTCTGGTCCCCATGAAGTTCCCTGGTGGTGCCAACTCATGAATACACTGAAGGTTTGTTGTAGGGCTCCCTCCCTGAATGGGAGACTTCCTGGGGTGTGTGTGTGTGGGGGGAGCATAGCTGTCACGCATGGTGTTAATGATCCCCGTATTCCTGAAGGCACTGTTACCCAAAAATGAAATCTTAAATAAATGTCCAACTGTTTAGCCAAGAGCATGTACTTTGCTAAGTAACCATACCATTTTTAAGAAATGGTAAATAAATGAAACTTACCCTTTAAAGAAGATTTCAACAGATGATTTGGGATCCTTCCCTCTTTATCTCAGCTTAATCCAGTTCAGGGAAATTACAGAAGCCTGTCAGGTCCGTCCCGAGGCTGTGGACACCACAAATGCAAGGATAAAAGAAGTCCCTCCTCCTAAATTTACATTCATTTAGATCAGTTGGGAGTGCTAAGGTTTTCAAACCCCAAGCTTTATATAAGGTGTTTCCCCTGATGCGTGAGTAGGAACTGTTTTCCCCAGCCAGTGAGGACCTTGGGTTTCCACCTTTTAAAGCTTCAGGTGGTTCTTCAACTCTTCTTTTTACGTTGCATAACCCTCAGGGCTTTATATCCGACTTCCATATTTAATGTATTTTAATTCAGCCTTGTGATGATCTATATACCCTTTCATGAGCTCATCTTTCCCTTAGGACTTATCCAAGTAGCAGAGATTAAACTGGCATTCTTTACTACTTCCTGGCAATTGCAAGTCTGACTTCATGAATACCTTTATTTTTGCTCTTGCCATCCAAAAGTGTCGGAGAGAGTGTGATCACTTGATTAAATAAATAAAACAAGGTCTTTTGGACCGATCCTTTCCCAACACCATACACACTGGCAACAGACACATCCTGTCTTTGCCTCTTCTTCACAGGCACCCCCTCTAGTGTTTTCATTCCTGTGAGTTATCCCTTTAAAATCTGGAAAGTTCTTTATCACTTTCTCACAGTGTGCATAATGCCCTAACCTCTGACTCTCTTCCTCCACTGTATCTGCCCCAGACAAAACAATACAGTTTGCCTTTGAAGGGAAAGAAAACAGAATTATTTTCCTTCCATTTCTTTCTTCTTTGGGCAAGGATAGGAGGATAGAAGAGAAAGGTGTGAGTGGCCAAAACAGAAACCACTGAAGCTTGATCCCACCGTATGAGTCACTTTGAAGGAGGTAATGGTCTAGAGTAATTCTTAGTTGAAATGATATCACATACCACCTCCTGTCACCAACTTCTCAAATAGTTCCCAATTCTCCTCCCCTAGCTGCAAATCTCATTTAATAATTGCCCTACTATGGGGCATCTGGGTGGCTCAGTGGGTTAAAGCCTCTGCCTTCGGCTCGGGTCGTGATCCCAGGGTTCTGGGATCGAGCCCCACATCGGGCTCTCTGCTCATCAGGAAGCCTGTCCCCGCCCCCGTCCCCCTCTGCCTGCCTCTCTGCCTACTTGTGATCTCTGTCAAATAAATAAATCTTTTAAAAAATAAATAAATAATTGCCCTACTCTATAATATTGCTATTTCTGTGCTGTCTCATCTCCGCTTTAGGATTCTGCTACTTTTTGAACTCTCTGCCTATAGCACTAGCATCATCTTGGGCTTTTGATAAATGTTTTCTGGATTTAAATAAGTGGCTTGGCCTTGCTCAGACTCCCCATTTCTAGCGTGTAGAGGAAACTTGTTTCAATGGGCACCTTCATCTTTACTGCCCACTATTAAAATATAGTTACCAGGGATGCCTGGGTGGCTCCGTTGGTTAAACGACTGCCTTCAGCTAAGGTCATGATCCTGGCGTCGCAGGATCAAGTCCCGCGTGGGGCTCCCTGCTCAGTTGGGAGTCTGCTTCTCCCTCTGCCCCTCCCTCCTCTCATGCTCTCTCTCATTCTCTCTCAAATATATAAATACAATCTGTAAAAAAAAAAAAAAGATATAGCGACCAAAAACAACATAAGGAAAAGTAACATGGTGGACTTTTAAATTGCAGCATAAAACATTTTAATACTTTTTTTTTTTCCCCTGAAAGACCTCATGATGAACCATTCTTAATGTTCGGGGGTATAAGCCTCAAGATGCAGGCAGAAATGTTTTTGTGATTTTATCTTATTTTTTAAATTTATTTATTTATTTGACAGAGAGAGAGAGGGGTCACAAGTAGAGAGGCAGGCAGAGAGAGAGGGGGAAGCAGGCTCCCCGCTGAGCAGGGAGCCCGATGCGGGGCTCCATCCCAGGACCCTGAGATCATGACCCGAGTTGAAGGCAGAGGCTTAACCCACTGAGCCCCCCAGGCACCAATGTTTTTGTGATTTTAAATACTTTCCACCTAGCATAGATAATAATCAAGGATACTTAAAATACATTAATGTATTTTGTGCAATTTTCCCAAGTTCACAAAATAAAATGCAGCTTGAACTTGAGGTTGCCCTCAGCCATATCTCCACAGTGTAGAGGAACACAAACTGTCTGGAGAATCACTAGATGGTAGGTCTCTTGTGTTACCCCCATATTCAGATCTGAAAAACCCACAGATTAACTTGCCTCAATTTTTTTTTCATCCGCAAAATTGAGCTGGGTCAGGGGAGGGAGAGACAGAGGAGAACTAATAACCGTGCCGTGTTTCTCCGTATCCTACTCTGTTCTCGCATATGCAAAGGTGTGAGCTACAGGGGAATGAGAGCACATGTCTTATTGGTAGGAGCTTGCCGTGTGAGACTGGTTTAGGAAGGCATAGTAGGATTTATAAAGAAGACCAGGATATCCCACTGTCTCTGTGTCTTGCTCTAAATGATTATAATTAGAATTTTAACCTCTTGGAGTAAGTTTCTGTATCTTTATTTCTTCCCTTTCACCTAGGCTTTGAACACGTATGTTTAAATGAAGAATTTAAAGTTGTACTGCCATTTGCTTGTATTGAAATACCACATATATCTTAAATAATTACTATAATATCCTACCCAGCAAATAAATCTGTAGCATAGGTATTATAAAATTGGTTATGAAAAACTTTTTGATCATCTGGGGTGAGAAAATGTAATAAATTTTTTAAAAAACATTTCTGATGTTAGGTTCAAGGAGCAATTGACTATGCTTTTCTCTTGGAGTGGCTGATACTCCCAAGCTGCCAGGGAGGGTTCTGGGACACCAAAGACAATAGTCTCACAACTGAAGAAGGGAGGGCGCCTGGGTGGTTCAGTAGGTTAATTACCTGTCTTCTGCTCAGGTCATGATCTCAGGGTCCTGGGATCGATCGAACCCTGTGTCAGGCTCCCTGCTCAGGTGGGAAGTCTGCTTCTCCCTCTCCCTCTGCACCTGCCGGGCTTGTGCTGTCGCTCTCAAATAAATAAATAAATAAATTCTTAAAACAAACAAACTGAAAAAAAGGCTCAGAAAGTTGTCATTTTAAGGCATCATTAAAACTTTGGGGGAAAAAAACTTTGGGGAATAAAAGAAGATTTAGCGTTCTTGCTGTTGAGCTAAATAGCCAGCCCCCTCCTGAGGGTAAGAAACAGCTTTTCTCTAGCCAGGGGTGTGGAAACCAATGTGGTGGATAGCTTTCTGCCCACAGTGTGGACTGTGAGCCCTAAGGAAACAAAATGAGATCATGGAATATGGAGAGTGTGATTTACTAGATTAGGACACAGGCAGAACTGGAAATCCCCCACTGCCTGGAAAGACCAAATGAAGACTGGGGTCATGAGACCAAGGCTAGGGGAATTTGTAATAGGCGCTCGCACTTGGCACCTCTTTCCACCTCACCGTGTTCAAGATAAAGGCACGCTTAATAATGCTTAAGAATGGGGGAAAATAAGGCTTAAGGGTTGGATAGCTGGGGTCAAAGGATCTGACTTGTGACTTGGTCACTGATTGTGTTATATAACTAATACCATCAGCCCCATATTAATAATCTCAGCTTTCTGATTTGTGAAACGGAATAATAATTACACCGACTTCGTAAGGTACTTGTTGTACAGGTTGGGTAACATAATGTGTGTAAACAAAACACTTAGCGCGGTGCCTGGCATTCTCAGTGAATGTAGCTAAAAACGAACAATGAAACATCAAAAACATCAATTGTCTGGCCTCTCTTATCTGTAAAAAGGTGAGAGTGAAGGAAAGCCCCTGCGGGATGGAGAATCAAACCGACTGCACCTCTGACCAAGGACTGCAATCCGCCGTGTCCTCTTGCTATTTTGGATTCGGACGGCCTTTGTACCTCTCATCCCTGGCCCTGTCAGAGGTGGCTGAAGACATCCCTTCCCTCAAATGTTTGTGAAGTGCCAACTCTGTGTCAAGTAGTAGCTATGTGATGCGGGTGTACTGGTGAACGACTCACAGAGTTGAAAAGATGGATAACAAACAAAATAAACACACAAATACAATACTTGTCACGTCTAAGAAGAAAAAATGGGACTCTACTCTCGATGGGTTGACAAAGGAAGCCCTCTCTGAGGAAAGGAAATTTAAGCTTAGAAACCAAAGAAACAGCAGACATGGTTTCTGTCCATGCCTTCTGGCCTTTCCCTATAGCACTGGCAACAACTGCCAGCCTTATGTGTCTTGTAACTCCCCAGTAGTTCCAGCTATCACAATCCAGAAGTGATCTCAAGAGATACTCGGGACAGACTATTTCCTGCCAAGAGTGATCCTAGGGGCCATGGTCGTGGATGGAGCAGCCGAGTAACCTCATAGGGACTTGTGTGGGCTGTGACAACACAGACACGGGGCCAGCAGAGGGTCCTGGTGCAGGGCTGCATTCCCCTCCTCGAGGAAGGGGTGCCTTTTCTACTCTACAAAACCAGCTAATGGCCCTACGCCGCCTCAAAATAAAAGCACACTCATAAGTTAGTGAAAGGTTTTTCCAAAAGCAGGCTGGCACCAGGGACTCAAGGTGTCACCTAGGAATAGCCCAACTCAATCCCGAATTATAGGTGACATAGGGGACTCATCACGATAGACCTGCACCATGATTTATAACCACTTTTCAGGGGAAGTGTGCATTTCCTCCTCATGGCATCAGAAGGATCATGGTTTGGGGGCACCTGGGTGGCTCAGTTAATTAAGTGTCTGAGACTTGATTTTGGCTCAGGTCATGATTTCAGGGTAGTGAGATTGAGCCCTGCATCAGGCTCTGCGCTCAGTGGGGAGTCTACTGGAGATTCTCTCTCTCCCTCTCCCTCTGCCCCTTCCCCTGCACACCTACATTTTCCAGTAACAGTAACCCAGCCCCTCCCCCCACCCCCTGAAGTGTCACACAAGCCACTTCTTCCAGTAACTGCTCCCATAGAGCAGTGCTGGTCCCCAAAGCTACAATAATGGCCTCCTTCTCAGGCTCTCAAATCTAAACAG